GGGGGGGGGCAGCCCCCCGCGGGGACGCGCATGGGGACCCGTGGCCGTGGGTGGGTGTCCCCGGGGGCTGCCCTCAGCCCGGGGTGCCCTGGTGCTGTCCGCCCCCCCAGCCCCCCCTGTGCACCCTCCCTCCTGCACATGGACCAGTGGCAGCCATCCGTCTGTCCGCCAGTGCAGTTGTCCTTGTGCAGCCACCCATGCTCAGACTCCCACCATTGCCCATCCGCCCCTTCCCTCCATTCATCAGCCTGTCCATCCATCCCTCCGCTCCTCCATCCCCCCCTTCATCCACCCATCTACCCATCCATCCACCCACCCATCCATGCTTCCACCCACCCATCCATCCATGCCTCCCATCCATCCACCCACCCACCCATCCATCCATCCATCCACCCATCCATCCATCCATGCCTCCATCCATCCACGCTTCCGTTCACCCATACATCCACCCATCCATGCCTTCATCCACCCACCCATCCATCTATGGTGCCATCCATTACCCCATCCATCCATTCATCCACCCATTGCTCCATCCATCCATCCATCCATCCATCCATCCATCCTCTGTCCACTCATCTGTGCCTCAGCAGCAATCAGCCCTTTCTCTCCATGCACCGCATCATCCATCCTTCCATCCCTCCATCGCTCCATCCCAACCCCTGGGAACCCCCTGCCCACCCCACACCGGGGGCTGCAGGAGGAGGGTCCCACTACCCCCCTATCTGTTAACCGAGCAGCCCCCGTGGTGCTGCCAGCACATGCCGCGGCTCCGCCGGGCGCTCTATAAACGGCTCCGCCATGCTGCGACTCCACTTGCGTGTCTTTTGCCATCTGCTGCTGTCATTAAAAAATTAAATTTCCATCTGCTTTCACACTCCCGCCTCTCCCGTCAGCTCCCGGTGCCGCCGCTCCCCGGGAAGCATCGCCCCCGGCTCCCTCCCTGGGATGCGGCTGATCCAGCGGGGCCGCGAGGGCGGCTTGCAGACGCCGCCGAGTTCATTTTTCCGGTGCCATTGGCATCCGGTTTCTTCAATCCGGGCGGAGAGTTGGGGGCTGGCGGGGTGTGCCCCGCTTTCTCCCCCCCATCCAGCACAAGGTCAGCTTCGGGGTGTTTTTGGGGGGGACAGCCCACCCACCACTCCTTCGACACATCCCGGGGGAGCTCCCCGGATGCTGGGTCCGGCCAGTTTGCATCCCGGCAGCTGCATCTTTGTCCCAGCGGAGCGGGGATGGATCCTTCTGTGCCGGTGTCCCCCCTGTCCCCACGCTCAGCACTGGCTGCAGGGGGGTGCCCCCCCGCCCCGCCGAGCCTCGCGGGACAGCGTGGTCCCCGTGGGTGTGGGTGGCGTGACGATGATGGAGGGCACGTGCAGGTTCTTCTCGCCCGGGGATGCCACCGGGGTCCCGCCGCTGCCGTTCCCGCTGCTCACGCACATCTTCAAACCTGCAGAAATGGGGGGAGGGGACCAAGGTGAGGTGGGGGGGAGGAAGAAGATCAGGCGTGGGGCTGCAACCTCCCCCACCTCCCTGCCCTCCTCCAGCACTCCACGTCCAGCTCAACCCCTTACGAGCCACCAGAGA